GCTGTACAAAGGTAGAGGAGAGTTATAAGTCTGTTCGTATCTTGAATAACATGTTTTTTCGACGTAAATCTTATACACTGCTGTGCTCTTTGTACCAATAGTACACGAAAATTTTCCAATCTCCCCCGCTCTTAAAGCCGACGTTACGGCTGTAAATGCCAGTCCACAAAGGAAATGAACTATCAGACATACGTAGGCTACCAAACCGAATCTCTTGGGAGCTAAATAATCCTTCACCGCGTCTATCATGTTGGTACAACAACTTGAAATGTATCTCGAGAGCGTTTTGAACAAATCTGTTGTACCTGCGATTGAATGTTTGTAATAACAACAGGATCAAGTTAATACATATCTGACTGGAATTCTTTAAGTGGCACTTGAGTGATTAACAATACGTGAAAATGATCAAATTCAGAATGTTCCAGAAATTTACTCTTCTCAGAAGTCGTTTTGGCGATACAGTCTTGCTTTCGTGTTTGACGCCGCAGCAGTTCGCAAATGATGCCGATGATTCGTGAATCTTGACAAAAAAAGAGTAGAATAGATTATAAGATCTTGGTTATTGATAGCAGACAAAAAAGACTAACATGATGAACTAACGTTATTTAAATACTATATAGATCCAGTTTAAAAACCTTAACGAGCGAAATTCTTCAGATTTCACACGAGATATAGCGACGCAATAATAGGCTGACCAGGGTTTATATATTAGTGTGCAGTATAAACACTTTATGCAGTATGCCAATATCAGTTGAAAAGTGCACAGTATTGACTGTGAAAGTGTGCAGTATTGGAATTCTGAAATTTTCAGTTTCAGCTTCGTATTACAAAACAGTATAGCAACGTCGAACAATGGCTTAGGTCACAAAGGCACAAATTAAACAAGGAAGGGCAGAGTTACGGTTAGGCTTAATGATAACTGGAACAGGAAAATTCAGTTCCAATGTCTTGTAGACCAGTAGATGTAAATCAATTCCTATATCAGAGATTCTTTGTACGCTCAATCCAGAGTAGTCAATTTACATCTAATTGCCATGCATGGTAATTGAACCTCTTGGAACTGAGAACAATTTATAACTGATAAAGCTGTTCATATAAATAAAGTAAGTGCAGCATTGAATCTTTTGCAGTAGCTAGCATTGCACCCTTAGGTGAACCAAACTGCATCTCTTTACGGAGTAAAGTTTGAAACTGATGCAGCCACCCGCTGGTAAAGAAAAAATCTAGCCGTAATTTAGCTTATTTTAGTTTACTATTCTCGTGTTGTCATTCTTATAACAGAAATTGGGGATCGACGGCCCCTACTGGTCCTCTCTGAAGCGAAAGAGTTAGGTCAATTTTGGTTTTCTTCTCCGTATAATAATACTGGACAATCTAAGGATTACCTTTATTGAATTTCTACACTCTTAAAGCGCCCTGGTTGAAACCTCCTTTCATTGTTAATCAAGAAAAATAACCTATATTTGAGTGAACTTAATATTCGTGGTTAAATTTCCTGGTTATTCTAACCTTTTCCTAACTATATTGTCTGGTTAATTTGACCATTCAGGTGTAGACGTCATGGTTAAATTATGTTAGGTGGATAAATAACCAGGATCGCCCAGTTATTTTTCCACCGAACATAGTCTGGTTATATTTTAACAAAGACGTCCTAGTCAAATACAACCAGATTCCAGGTCACATCAACCAGACTAAGGTAGGAAACGAGATAAAATGACCAGGAAATTTAAACCAAGAATATTAACTCAAATTTTCAGTGTTATTTCTAGGTCATCAAGGAAACTTTAACCAGAGTATATTTTAAATTTAGATTGTAGTGTCATTATTTAATATTAATACTATAAAACTTCTGATCTAGCATGTCAGTTGCGCGAGACAGACGAGGAAGAATTCAGAGCAAAATTGAAAAGCCTCGAGGATCTGGGAATTCCAAATTTCTCCGAAATTAACGCAAGAATTGAGAAGTTACGAAAGCGGATACGTCATACACTGGACGACGAGCGGAAGTGTCGAAGTAAGGGAGTTCAAAAATTGAGATTCGAAATTGGCAAGGTGCAAGGAATGTGTGAAGCAGTGTTGGATTTGGTGTATACGGAATAAATATATAAACTTCAGATGATCATTAGATTAGAGATTTTGGAGATGATAGTTGTACATATAGAAGTTATTTACGTATATAGTATGTATTTTTAAAGTTATTCAAATAGATTAGTATACGTATACTTTTTACAGAATATTTTAGACAAATTAAAATAATGAGTGATTACATGACATGGATGGGAGTGAAAACAATAATGTATTAATGAATAAAAATATTATAGATAGGACATTCCAATCACTGGGTGGATCGTGGATAGATGGTAATTAACTGGTATGGAAAGGGAACTGAGAATTAGAATAGGGAATTTGTGTAATATTATATAAGCGTTCTACAACTTCATGCAATCATGCTATACAATGTCATGCAAAAGGTTGCCGTTTGATCACGTTTGCATTCACGTCGAAACATGCAGGAATATGACTACATTCTTAACGTCGTGAGATTTACATCGTATAGGAACGGCGACAGTCCCACGAGAAATTAACTGAAATGCCCAATAATAATTTGACATTTCAGCAGAAAAAGACGTAGGAATGTAGCGTTGTAATTAATGTTTTGACACGAAATCACGACACCATTTTTTAGCTAAAGGGCGGATCCGCGGTTTTGGTAATATGCGGATTGGATATCCCGTGTTGAGTGCATACATGCATATAACATTTCTGAATGTACTTGCAAGTGATGAACCAGGCGGGAATCGTAATCGCAATATAAAAATTAATGATAACGTACGCAAAAGAGCCATATAGACAAATTTTATGTCTATATATTCTTGTCCATAATGATGAATGTCTTAATCGTGCATTCCAACAGGTCAGGACAGGTCAGTTGTCAGACCAGTGATATGTATGTTAAACGAAAGACCTAATGGCTAATTGGATTCGTTTAGCTTTTTTATTTGAATCGGTTTTATTTATGAAACTATTCTTTCAAGCTAAATTAAGATATTCATCAATGTTTCACTATTCTACAGTTCATGTGACAGTGCAGCGTTCAACAATCTGGATGGTGAATCGCCAATTAATAAACTAGAAATATAGTTTACACTAAAAATGCCCCCACTAGATGATGGGAAATTGCTAGATAGTATACTTCAAAATAAGGTTTCCGTTTTTGTATCCATTTTTTAAATAAGTTATGGTTAGATTAGGGTTGGGGTTGGGGTTGGGGTTAGGGTTAGGGTTAGGGTTAGTATTACGGTTAGGGTTTAGTTTTGCGTTAGGATGGTTTTTTCTACGTTATAAAAACGGAAACCTTATTTTGAAGTATACTATCTAGCAATTACCCTAAATGATGTTTTAGGCTGTGTTTACTGAAACTGTGATTCTCTGGGCGATTTTTAGCTACGTTTACACACTGCGATTTTTCCTGCCGATTCAGTGCCATTCGTCATTAACATTCGGTATAAAAACGGGAAATCGGTCCGATTGATCGCTGCATTGTTTTATTTGTTTACCTATACGTTTAGGAAAAAACGACAGATGTTAAAAGTTACATCTCCACAGCTTTTGGAGAGAAAACTTCGGTGTTAGGGAGTTTTCTTATGTAAATTTTGAGGAATAAGAAGGACATATATCTGGTACCATAGTGTGAATATATACATCTGTGCACATAAAACAATCCCAGTATTGATGTTTCGCTCACTACTCTGGTTTAAATAAATTATTACAATAAGCCCAGCAATAAACTAATTGCCACTTACCACTATCATTATGAGTGGAAATAAACGTTTTTATCTCTTTCGGCAATAGTGTTTCAGTCAGGTGTCTGGCAGCAAGAAATTCTTGTATTGTTAAGTGTATAAAGCAAAACTGTGTTTGAATTGGGGAGATATAAACTGTTCACTAAATCGGACGTCTTCATTTGTTCATCGAATAGTTGTTTGTTGAAAACCAATTGCCCGTTTTCCACACCACGGAATGCCAATTTCTGAAGATCCATTGCCATGTCGTTTGAAGAGGTTTGGTCTGAATTTCTGTTGCGCTTTAAGGCGAAGTGATTTATGGTTGTCTGGTAGAATTCAGTCAGTGTTGTAGCAGTGGCGTAACTCCTATGAGCTCTACCCGGTAAGAGCAGGGAGCATGCACCCAGGCAATCGGCCTTTCGGGGGGCATCCTGAACTGAGTTGTCCGGCGGCCTTATTTATATAATTTCCGTTTCGTAAAGCTATTAAGAACTTTTGAGATTCAGATTTTCTGTATCAACTGCACCAGCACAGTTGGTATATAACGTGATACCAGAAGTTGAAGCGAAACTAAGACAAAGTACAAATGAACAGTAAGTTTCGAAGTGTAAGGTGTTGACAATTACAAGGAAAAAAAACCCGCTGACGTACGCATATCACATGGGCTCAAAGGAACTTACTCGTGTGAATAAGGAAAAAGATCTTGGTGTCTTCATAAATTACAACCTCTCATGGGACGATCATGTTCATACCATCACCGCCAAAGGGAACAAGATGCTTGGCACGCTGAAAAGAACTTGCCCTCTACTGACTAACACCGCAGTGAGACGGACGCTGTATTTGTCACTCGTGAAGTCCCAGATAAGTTACGCCACCGAAGTCTGGTCTCCTCCTACCATCAAAATGAGATCCACAGTGGAACGTGTACAAAGGAGAGCCACCTCTTGGATACTGCAAGCCAAGCGCGGAGAAATTGCATATAAGCAGCGGCTGATAACCCTTGGCTTATTACCCCTGTGCTACGAGAGAGAAATAAAAGACTTAGTGTTCTTTTTTAAGGCACTGTATGGACATATTGATCTTGACGTGCATAGTTTCGTTTCATTTGTCAACAATGGCCGAACACGACTTAGTCGAAATCCTTCTCTCACACTCAAAATCCCTTTCTGTAAATCCAAAACATTTCAATCCTCATATTTCAACCGGCTTGTCAAGTTATGGAACCACGTCTGCAAAATTCTTCCCTCTACCACCTTTGCCAGCCTCTCCATCTTCAAAAGATCTCTTAAAGCCACTTACGCTAACTTGCTTACGGCAACATTTGACGTGGACATGCCATGCAACTGGACACTGGTGCGGGACTGCCCCTGCCACAGATCTTAAGTAGTTTTGATAGACGGTTCCTCTTATTGTGTTCACTGAATGCAACCACATTATGCTTGTGAGTTTGAAATTATTATGCTAACACATCCGTGAAGCATTCATTATGCTTGTGAGTTTGAAATTATTATGCCTGCAATACATCCGTGAAGCATTCATTATGCTTGTGAGTTTGAAATTATTTTGCTAACACATCCGTGAAGCATTCAGGTGGTTGCGTTCATGGTCATACTAATAGGGGGAAGCGGCTTTTATATATTTGTATTTTATGTACGTGTGTATTTATATTTATGTACGTATTCGCTGCTTCGGGGTTTGCACCTTGCATGGGACTTCGCGTCTCGTTTGTGCTTATGCCATTTGAGTTCATATTAATTATACATAATATTAATTATATATAATTATATATAATATTAATTATATAATGTAATGTTCTCAATAAATATAATATATTTGAAAACAATGGAAAAATGGAATGTCTTCGGAGCCAATGGCAGTGAAGAAGTACACGACGTGTTTCGACAAACAGAACTGACAAACAACCGATCTTGTGTTCATGTGATTTCTTCAGAATGGCTTCCACTTTCCAGGATATTTCCAATTTAGAAGGAAATTGTAAGGGACCGGTCATAAAGCCCTTGCATAAAATTAATGACACACCCCTGCGTTGAAAATTAGCTGCTTCACTTTCTTCGTGTTCTTTCTTGTTCCACTATAGTGTGTACTACATGACATAGCCAAGAAGTAGTGCACACTTTAGTGGTGAAAATTCATGTGTCTTGGAAATATTATTATTCTTGCTTATGCTTTAGTGAATATTACTTCCGTAAACATTAGTAACACGCAAGTATTCAATGAGACGCACATGTTTAATTTTTCAGCTTTTTTATTATTTTTTTTATAATAAAAATGGCGCTTGCCATTTCATTTGCCTTGCGAGATCATGGCGCTTGCCATGATCTCAATAGAGGCAGAGGAGACAAGAAAGCTTTCCGTTGACAAAATGATTGATGAGTTTGCTGAAAAAAAGAACAGGTGCGAGAAATTTAAGATGTAATGTTAAAAGTGATTTTGTCATTAATTGATGATTAATTGATGAAAATGATTAATTGAGGATGTTTGTGCATATAATTACAGTGGCAAACATTTCACTCTTTATGACAAAAACAATTTTCGCATAGTGCTATTTTATAGTTGTGTTTTTTATATTTTGCTATATATTTATATTTCCAGTTTAAAAATATCCATTAAAATTGGCTTCTAAACGACTAGCAAAATGTTCATATTGCCAGAACTTCATGTTCAAACTTCATTGGGGGCACCCAATCCCGGTAGGACCAGGGGAAGCCTGGTCCAAACTTACGTCACTGTGTTGTAGGAAGAGCACCGGTGTCATTTCCAGTATCACTGAGACACCCAGACAGGGTAACGCAAACTATGAAACAGTTCACAGGAATGTAACATAACTTTAACAAGTCCGACGAGGATTTTATGTGGTTCCATATCTTTATTTTAAGATCATCTCTGTCAATATTGTCACAAAATCTGTTGACATACTCTTCAATTTTGTCTGGAGTAAAACCAATAATCTCAACGCTTCGATCAAAATCAAGATTCGAGTAAAAATCGTCTGCAGTCGGTCTCGACGTTACTAAAACCGTTGCTCCTTGCAACATGTTGCCGTAAGCCAGTTTGATGAACAAAGTCATTCCAGACATGCAAGTATTGGGATCGTTTGGAAGCATTCGTGATCGTTCTAAGCAGTTTCTTATGTCACCATTGAATTCATCCAAACCATCAAAAATAAGAATTGCTTTCTGGGGTTCCTTTAAAATCTCTTCAAAAATACTTTCAAATGATTCTTCGCTGAGCCCCGTACCGTACCGTAGAAATGTTTTAAGAGATAAGTTTTTTAACTCTTCAAAATTGAACCATCGACATTTCAAGACGAAAGCAATCTTGCCACAATAAAATTCATCAATTCCATTTGCCCAGTCGCGAATAATTTTTTCGGTCAAGACACAGGGGGTCCAACTAAGAGCTGTGTTATGAATATGAATAAAACATTAATTAAACGTAATATGAATAAAACATCATAACGTAATATATTTAAATTATTGCACTTACTTGTATAAATCATAATAGCTTGTATTTGCAGTGAATAGCTTTTAACAGGGCGCTTATATACGCTCAGAAAATCGCTCAGAAACATTTTGATTCGAACGATTGTTCAAATATGGCGAATAAATTGACAAAACGAAAATATTACATGACGTTCCAACGAAAGTAACAGCAAGGATTGCGGGCGCGAGCGGAAGACGAGGGTAATAGATATTAATAGAAGGGATGAAACACCGGTAATGCGATCGTGTGATGTGTTCCATAAGTAGCCTGTTCTCTCGGAAAATTCCAAAACGCCTCCTGCCAACTCCAACAACGCGTAAGCGCTTAATTAATGAAAATAAACAATGTTTAGCTATACCGGTTAATATGAAATGTTTAAATGTAGCGACCAACGGTTTTTTTTACATTATTTAGTTTTATTATTATTTCGTCATACGTCACGAGAACAGGCTACTTATGGAACACATCTCGCGATAATGGCCAAGAATGCTCGCTGTTATAAATCACATAAATTAGATTGATCAGTGCTTTTTTGGTAATGACTGGGCTTGTTCATGTAAGAGAACATCGACTGAGCCTTAAAACCCCCACAAAAAGCTTAAACGGGTAGTCTAGAAGCATTTTAAAAAGTCACGTGATATTTGTTTCATCCCTTCTATTTATTTCTTCCCTCGCCTTTTCGCTTGCTCGCGCGCCCGCAATCCTTGCTGTTACTTTCGTTGGAACGTCATGTAATATTTTCGTTTTGTTAATTTATTCGCCATATTTGAACAATCGTTCGAATCAAGTGTTTCTGAGCGATTTTCTGAGCGTGTATAAGCGCCCTGTTAAAAGCTATTCACTGCAAATACAAGCTCTTATGATTTATACAAGTAAGTGCAATATTACGTTATGATGTTTTATTCATATTACGTTTAATTAATGTTTTATTCATATTCATAACACAGCTCTTAGTTGGACCCCCTGTGGTCAAGACTGTTTTGCCTATCTCAGGCCTTCCAATCGCCAGAATCGTGCGAGGGAAGGTACCTTTTGTATCTTGATTAGGATAAAATAGATCTTTTATCTCATTCAGACGAATGGACGATTCTGGAACCTTCGTGTTTAAAACACCAAATATCTCATGTCTCTCCATTTCCTTCGAAAACTTGTGCATAGTTCGTCCCGTATGAATAATAATGTCAATATAGATGTAATTTAAATCTGCTAGTTTTTGCCAATAACCTATGTCACGTGTGCGAGAAGGGTTCAAAACTTGTCGTTTGTAAATATCTATACAGAGTCCAGTGTTGTTCCCGATGCTTGATAGTTCATGTTCAACTCGCACATATCTCTTACGAAGAAGATAAACAGTAATAAATTCCGTATCACAGCTCCAGTCAACTTTAGAACGACAGTTGAGGATTGGAAACCGTCGCCAAATGAGATAAACGACTTCCCCAAGGGTTATCAAGGCAAAAACAGTGTTTAGTACAGAGACAATCACGCTCCACAGCTGCTTTTCTGGCGCACTCGAATTTTCGCATGCTATTGAAGTATTATTTAACTCACCAACACTCATATTGCTTCCAATCTGAGAAGTTACATCTGTCGTGGGTAGATTGCAACTGAATTCGAAATCAAATCCACTGGGATAAAATATTGTGTGTTGCAGAACGGTAAACAGAATTCCAAACAGCGAACGATCAACGAGATGGAGAAAATAGAAATAGAAAACGTAAAATCTCTGGCACGTTACTTCGCTATCGATTCTTGGTTCATCACTTCCGTCCGAGCTTCTTTCGATTTCCTCGACACGACTGCTTACTCCGAGGGAATAAATAACACTGGCAAGAACTGTGAAGCCAATACTCAGTGAAACAAAGCTGTACAAAGGTAGAGGAGAGTTATAAATTTGTTCGTATCTTGAATAACATGTTTTTTCGACATAACTCTTGTACGCTGCTGTGCTCTTTGTACCAATAGTACACGAAAATTTTCCGAACTCCCCCGCTCTTAAAGCCGACGTTACAGCTGTAAATGCCAGGCCACAAAGGAAATGAACTATCAGACATACGTAGGCTACCACACCGAATCGCTTGGGAGCTAAATAATCCTTTACCGCGTCTATCATGTAGGTAAAATTTGAGTGGTACAGTATCTTGACAATGTTTCGAACAAATCTGCTTTATTTGTGATTAAATGTTTGTAATAATATCAGAATCAATTTACTAAATACTTTGCAGTCTTTGCAGTGACACTAAATTGTGATTAACATCACGTCAAATTAAATTCAGAACATTCTAGAAATTCACTCTCCTGAGAAGTCGTTTTGGCGATGCAGGCTTTCTTTCGTAAATGATACCGTAGCAGTTCGCAAATGATACCCACTACTCCTGAACCTTGACAAGAAAAATAACAAAGTATAGATTATATATTAGATCTATACAGATACTAAACAAAAACGGACTATCACATCAACTAACCTTATTTTTTTATTTAAATACTATAGATCCAGCTTAAAAACCTCAGCAAGCTGAAAGTAGGCTACGTAATCTTAATTTTTTCACGATAGCGGCGAAATTATGAGCAGATCAGGTCTCAGTCATTTTTAGTGTGCAGTATTCACACTTTGTGCAGTATTGTTTGAAAAGTGCACAGTATTGAATGTGAAAGTGTGCAGTATTAATCGAAATTTAAAATTTTCAGTTTCAGTTTCGCACAGTCACTGAATTGCAATTGACCGTGTGGCATGCATAAACTAAACATTTGTTAATTGTTTCAAACTTGATGTTTATTGGATGAAAGTTGACCTTACTAGGGCGAACTTCATTGTTGCTGAGGTAAAACTTCCTTTAACATTAATGAGAATGCGAGCGGTTGTTTACGTTGTGATGTAAAATGAAATTCACAATGTTTCCCCGGAATAATTTGAACAGGATTTGTTCACGTGCTCTATACTGTATTATAATATAAGTGGGATATGACAGGCAATTTGATTGGCTAATGCATACGCATGCATTGTGACGCAATAATGTACTGTGTTCCGTGGCAGTGGCTTGCTCTTCTGCGTTTCCCCCGGCTTCATCTCTGCTTTTTAGCCAAAGGTATAAACAAAACTATAGAGCTTTCAAAATACAAAATGTATCAGAAAAGCAGCAAGGAATGGACCAAAGGAACAAAGCGATATTATCTATAGTTCTACGTGTAAAAACAGTATTAACTGGCTTAGCATTAGTCGAATTTTTTTTGTTTCGAAAAGAAAAAAAGCGTGCAAAATAGTCGAGAAAAAATTTGAAAACAATACAGGAATACCAAAAACATAGAAAAAGGCAATTAATTAAAACTGAACATAAGTGATTTAGAAGGTACCTTCAATGCTTCTGATAAAAACTGCTAGATATATATTTCGGGCGAAAGGCAAAACAATACAATAATTTAAAAAATTAAAACTGAGCAGCACGACGAAACCTACGATATAGGCTGGGATTACACTATACCGGATTGATTTTCATACCGGATTAATTTTCACTCCGAAATAAAAAACAATTGGATGTTTACACTATGCATGCCGCTTCGCTCTATTGCCAGTTCATGTCTCGCTGTCGCCATGGAAACAAGTAATACTTTTTGAAAGTATACTAAAATTTAATAAAAACAAGAAGTAACACACGTTTTCTTTGTAAAGTATAACTTTGTTTAAAAAGCTTGACTACCAGATGTTGCTTCGTTTCGCTCTAGTCCAAAATTGACGAAAGCGAAAAGTCAATTGTTATTATCGTTTTATTTACTTGTCTTCGCCAGAAATAGTAAATGGTTCAAGGCGAAACAAACGATAGCTCTAAAACATTGTAAAAGCGAGCAAATAAAGGCGACAATGGTAAACCCAAAACGCCAAAACAGATTTTGTACCGAAGCGTACCGGCTTGGCCTGCTTACACTGCTTCGGCACATACCGGATTACTTTTCATATCACCTCAGTCCAAAGCGAAGTGATTTTCGCACCGCGGCACGTACTGGATTATAGTGGCGTAGTGTAAACAAGAGCCCAATCCGGTACAGAAATCGCGTCGCTCCGATGCAATCCGGCATAGTGTAATCGTCCTTCATGGCAAATCCGGCAGCTGAAATGCGGAAAAAGGTTAGCAAATCAGTCTGTGTGTATCATTGGTTTTTTCCCCAGCATTTTAAACAGTTTCACCGCAACTTTAGCATCAAAACTTTTTCAAATTAAAATTTTGCATTGTTTTTGCTCCTTCGCTCACTTGAAAATTCAAGCGAAAGTAAAAGCATGCGCGTGACGTCACCGAGTACATATGTTAGGAGAATTTCAAAGTCGATCTCTTGAATAAAATGTTTACTATGTAATATCTTCTAGTACTTATACTATAAAAGAAATAGAAAACCTCGTCTCGTGCGTGTATGATGTGATAATGCACTCGGGGAATGTTGGGAGAACACTCGAGGAGCGTGTAAAACACTCGGCTACGCCTCGTGTTTTACACGCTTCTCTCGTATTTTCCCAACATTCCCTGCGTGCATTATCACGCCATAAACGCACGCGACTCGTTTTCTATTTCTTAATTTATGAGCGAGATCTGATGGCGCCAAGGTACGTATTTAAAGTACGGAGACTGAACCATCCTCGGTCCCAGGGCCTCACGGCTGTTGTCAAGTTGAGATTACCCATTAGAAAGCGAGACAAAGAGGTTTTGGGTTATAAAAATTTACCAGGAAAGATGCGAGAAAAGCGAATAGCATTTGTTAGTGAGAGAAATTATGTTGTTTGACCACGGGCCGGTTGTTCAAAAGCCGATTAGCTAACCCTAGGTTAACTTAAAATTCAACTGAATTACACGTCCTAACAGCTTGTTTTTAAATTTGGAAATATTTCTTCACAAATCATGTCTGGATCAATAGAAGTTTTTTTTTTTGAAGTAAATGGACATGCAGAAATATGCAAACTAAAACAGCGGGTTAAATTTTAACCCTGGATTAGTGCTAATCCACCTTTGAACAACCGGCCCCAGGAGTTTTTTACTAATCGGTTCAGGATGACACCTAACTCGACATTTGAAAAACTTCGTCAAATGTTCAGAAATAGCATTGTCTTATAGAAATGTCATTGACATTGTCTTCGAGCACTCATGTCCGCCATGTTGTTCACAAGTATTTCGATTTTTCGACTCACGAAAGCGGAACTCTCAATTATTTCGCTGCTGAAAATAAATATCCAATTGCGCAAGCGCTTAACTCGTCATTGTCGAAAAATTTCGATTCGGTCGAAAACTTCCACCTAGTGGAAAACCGCCTTAAGACCTATATACGATATTCCGCTCGAAATTTCCATTTACAAAAATCTTTCGAAAACTATAGTTACTAAGCTGGTGAGTTAGTATCTAATGCTTAGTTAACTTTGTTCTATTTTAAGCTGTCGTAGGGTTGGTCATATAATGTCTTCCTGACAAGTAGATGTAAATCGACTATTTTAGATCACGTGCCAATCCCGATGTCAGGGATTCTTTGTACGCTACTAGTTAGACAAAGAATAATTTGTGATGACACAGAATTCAGAGTAGTCAAGTTACATCTAATTGTCATGCATGCTAACTGAACCTCTCGGAAGAACAGTTCAGCATTGACAGAACTGACAGAGCTATTCATATAAATAAAGTAAGTGTAGCATTCAACCTTCTGCAGTAGTATTGCATCCTCAAGTGAATCAGACTGCATCTCTGTACGGAGTACAGTTTAAACTTTGGAATGGATACAGCCACCAGTATAGATAAATCTAGATTATTAATGTTCTCTTGTTGTCATGCATTCTTATAACAGAAATACAGTATAGTTGGGAAAAGGTTAATGAATAACCAGAAAATTTAACCAGGAACATCAAGTTAAGCCAAATACAGGGTTATTTCTTAGTTACCATAAGGAATTTGTGCAATAACGGTAAACCTTTGATGGTCCAGCTTTACTATATACATGTAGAAGAGTAAACTTAAACTAGACTAACTTTATTTTTACTTCGGGTAGAATCAGTAAGGGTCATAGATCCCAAATATTTAGTCGTGTTAATTTGATCAGGTGTTGACCTTAGGTTAGTTTGATCAGGTATGGACTACACGTACTTGATCAGGGTCGCCTGGTGATTTATCCACCTGACATAGTCTGGTTATTTTAACACGGACCTCCTGGTCAAATACAACCAATTTCCTGGTCACGTCAACCAGAATATGGTAGGAAGCAAGATAAAATAACCAGGAAATTGAACGAGGAATATTAAGTTACCCTAAGAACATTTAAATATAGTTATAGAAAATTTAAATATAGTTACAACATTGTAGAACTGGTTAATACTTTACATTATACCCATGATTTCGTTTGTTCATACTCCTTGGCAGTACTGAAAATAGTTATGTTTTAATGTTATTGTTGTTGTGTTTATATATAGAATTTAGAAGGATCAGATTGGAAAAATGTTGTAACTTTATCTGTTTATCCTCAATGAATAAAGCGTTACTATTAACATACATGAAAAATTTCTTAATTCTGATTGGCTAAGAAGAGTGCAATTTTTTCGAAATACAGTGCCAAAAAATGAAATACAGTGCAAAAAAAAATAGCAGAAATTTCTTAATTTTCTTAATCTTTTATTTCACAAATTCCTTAATTTTCTTAATTTCTAAATGTGACTTAAAGGCGGTTTTCCACTAAGCGAAATTTTTCGACCGAATCGAAATTTTCTTTTGTCTTACAAGCACTCAGATGGAACTAATCAGAAATCTTTTGAATTTGAACAATAGAAATTTCGGTTCGATCGAAAAATTTCGCCTAGTGGAAAACCAAACTTCGCCTAGTGGAAAACCACCATTACGCACGTGACTGCATAATTTTTCATGTATATTATTAAGTAATAGCATAGTTTCTCGTGCGATTTGAAAAAACATACACTCGTGAGTTTTTTAAAGACTTCAAATGGCACTCGTCCTTCGATCGGACTCGTGCAATTTTGATAGTCTTTGAGAAACTCACTCGTGCGTGTTTTTTCCAATTTGCATTCGAAACCATACTATTACCCATACAAATAGTGTTAATGTAATACGCACACAAACTTCTACCTTGACAAAGTCAGCTCAAAATTATATTCTAACAAATATTTTGAAATTTAGTCTACAGTCGTATTAACAATGTTGAGGAAGTAATTTTTACCTCTGTGATTATTACCATTCACCAAATCTAAAACCTCTAGCTTTACAACATTCATTTCTCTCTACGTTACAAAGCAAGTTCTTGCCTTCTTCAGTAAATTCATTACTCGCTAGTGCCAATTCAGTAAGCTTACAGTTTCCATGTTGTAGGGTCTCGCACAGAAGTGGTACACATTTATCAGTCAAATCGCAGTAGTCAAGAGATAATGCAGTAAGCTTGCATTCCTCTTCTTTCAGAGCATTAGTGCACAGCATACGTACGCCGTCATCACCTATGGCATTGGCTGACAATAGTAGTTCACTCAGTTTACAATATTCATCTACCAAAACCTTGCATACCTCAAGTATACAATTTGCTGTTAGTGAACAAAAAGAAAGATTTAAACGAGTAAGCTTACACTGTTCTCCTCTTAAAGATCCAGTACACAATATACGTAGACATTCATCACCAATGTCATTATCTGACAATGACAAATTAGTTAGTTTACAATGTTTATCTTGAAAAACGTCGCAGAACGCATGCATACAATTTGCTGTTAATGAACAACTATCAAGGTCCAAAATAGTCAGCTCACATTGTTGTTTTCTGAGAGCGTCAGCACACAGTATACGTATACCTTCATCACCGATATTATTATTTTTCAATGAAATAGCAGTCAGTTTACAATGTTCATCACAAAGAACTTCGCATAAGTGATGCAAGCTTCCTGCCGTTAATGAACAAGTATCAAGGAACAATTCTTTAAGCTTACAATGTCCTTCTATCAAAGCATGGCACAACATACGCACACCTTCATTACCTATGTCATTGCCATTTAAATTCAGAGATGTAAGTTCTCGGCAACATACGTCATTAAGAACTTCACAAAGTTGGGATACTCCATTTGAAGTTATTCCATTATCACTCAATTTGAGAACTTGAAGATGACTTGCATGTCCGTTTTTAATAAATGTACATAGGTATGATACACATTCATCAGTCATGCAAATAGTAAGGCAAAGGTGACGGAGCTTAACGTGTTCGTGGTTCAATGGGCAATTTGACTTCATCATTGCGTCGAGTACTTCCTTTGCCAACTCAATACTAGTACTTTTGCCGGTAGCCAACACTAGCCTTTCTAAGCATTTTTGTTCTAACAGTTTACCAACTGACATAAAAGGATAAGCATTACGGGATGAGTCAGTCAATTCTAAATCTACTAAACTGTTCAAATGTTTGCAAACAAAAGTCACCGCTTCCCAATCAGTTGCTGAGAGGAACGTGTGTGAAGAGTGAAGTCTCGCAAGAAGTTTTAAATCGGTTGTTTCACAAGCCTTCTTAATAATGTATTCATCATCCACTTCTCTTAAGCATTTAAGTACAAGCAAGTTACCATAATTCTTAAGCGTAATACTGCTTTCATTCAGAGTTAGGCCTTTTGTAAAAGCCATAATACAATCATGGTAATCACTGCCAGACATCTTTGTTTCTTCACCTACAAGTCCAGCAATAAACTGGAGTACTAAATGCCACTAACCACTGCCAATGTGAGCAGAAATGAACTTCTCTATCTCTTCCGGTGATAGTGTTTCAGTCACGTGTTTTGCGGCAAGAAATTCTTGTATGGTTAAGTGTACGAAGCAAAACTGTGTTTGAATTGGGGAGATAGGATTAGATAAACTGTTTATCAAACCAGATCTTTTCATTCTTTCATGGAAATATTTTTTGTTGAAAACCAATTGCCCGTTTTCCATACCACGGAATGCTAATTCCTGAAGATCCATTGCCGTTTGTTTGGAAAAGGTTTCGTTTGAATTTCTGTCGTGCTCCTTCGCAAAGTGAGCTATGGCCGCATTGTAAAGTTCAGTCAATCTTGTGGGAAGAGCACTCGTGTCATTTTCAGAATCGCTGAGACATGCTGACAAAGTGACACAAACAATAAAACAATTGACAGGGATGTAACACAAATTCAATAAGTCCGACGAGGATTTTATGTGGTTCCAAACTTTTGGTTTAAGGTCACCTCTGTCACTATTGTCACAAAATCTGCTGACATACTCTTGAATTTTCTCTAAAGTGAAACCAATTATCTCAACGCTTCGATCAAAATGAAGTTTCGAATAAAAATCATTAGCAGTCGGTCTGCTCGTTACTATAATAGTTGCTCCTTGTAACACTTTTCCGTAAGCGAGCTTAATGAATAATGTCATTCCAGACATGTAAGCATTGGGATCGTTTGGAAGCATTTGGGACTGTTCTAAGCAGTTTTCCATGTCGCCATTGAATTCATCCAAACCATCAAAAATAAAAACTGCTTTCTGGGGTTCCTTTAAAATCTCTTGAAAAATACTTTCAAATTTTTCTTCGCTGAGGTCCGTACCGTAGCGAAGAAAAGTCTTAAGAGATAAGTTTTTCTCTGGTTCAAAATTGAACCATCTAAATTTATGGCAGAAGGCAATTTTGCCTCTATAGAATTCATCAATTCCATTTCCCCAATCACGCATAATTTTTTCCGTCAAGACAGTTTTGCCTATTCCAGGCCTTCCAACCGCCAGAATGGTGCGAGGGGAATTGCCTTTCGTATCTTTATTGGGATAAAATAAATCTCTTACCTTTTCCAGCCGTATGGAGTTTTTAGGAACCTTCATATAAACATCGAATATTTCATGCCTCTCCATTTCCTTTGAAAATATGTGTGGTGCTCGTTTAGTGTGAATAATAACGTCAATATAGACATCATCTAAATCTGTTTTTTGTTCATGCGATAAGTCATGCGCACGAGGACGGTTCAAAACTTGTTGTCTGTAATAGTCTGAACAATCCTGAAAGCTAATGTCCGCAATGATATTACCTGGAGTGCTGCTGTCCGTAATAATATTATCTGAACTGCTACTGTTCGCAATGTTATAATCTGGAATGCTATTATTTGAAGTGCTACTGTCCGCAATGTTATTATCTGGAGTGATACTTAGTGTGGGAGTGTCATTATCCATGGTCGAAAGTCGAAGCTCAACTCGCATATATTGCTTACGAAGAAGATAAACAGTAATAAACTCACTGTCACAGCTCCAGCCAACTTCAGAACGACAGTGGAGGATTGGAAACTGTCGCCAAAGATAAATCACTTCCCCAAGTATTATCAAGGCAAAAGCAGTGTTTAATACAGAGACAATCATGCTCCACAACTGCTTTTCGGATGCGGTAGAGTTCTCGCATGCTATTGAAGTATTATTTAACTTACCAATCCTCGTATTGTTTCGTGTCTGCGAAGGTACATCTGATGTTGGCAGATTGCAACTGAATTCGAAATCAAATCCACGGGGATAAAATACTATATATTGCAGAACAGTAAATAGAATTCCAAATAACGAACGGACAACAAGGTGCAAGAAATAGAAGTAGAAAACATAAAATCCACGGCTCGCTTCTTCCCTATCGGTTCTTGTTTCATCACTTCCGTCCGAGGTTCTGTCAATTTCCTCGACACGATGGCTTACCGCAAGTGAATAAGCAACACCTACAAGAACTGTGAACCCAGTACTCAGTAAAACAAAGCCGTACAAAGGTAGAGGAGAGTTATAAGTCAGTTCGTATCTTGAATAACATGTTTTCTCGACGTAATTCTTGTACACTACTGTGCTCTTTGTATCAACAGTACAAGAGAATTTCCCGAACTCGCCCTTTTTTAATTCCAAAGTAACACCTATAAATGCCATTCCAGAAAGGAAATGAACTATCAGGCATATGTAGGATACCACACCGAATCTCTTGGGAGATAAAAAATCTTTTACTGCGTCTATCATGTTGAAATATATGTCGCAGCATCGCGAGCAAATCCGCTTTGCTTGTGATTTCTCAAAGAGGATGTTTGTAATAATTTTGTTCATTATTATGCAAACTTGTGAACAGTGAAGACAATAGAATTTTGGTATAACGTATCAATCATCACTGTCAGCATCCTGCTGAGATCACCCAACCGTGTTTTGAAATGTCAATAAGGAAAATTCAAAACATTTGCGTGCGATGGACACGTTTCGATATATTAAATTTTGAATTACTTTTTAACATATATGTACCAAGTTCCATCATAGAATGAGAACGAGTAACACTGAGGTCAAAAATAATTATTAATATGATGAGAAGTATTCGTATTAACCCAGCAGACTATCAATACCTGTTGAGGGGTTTTGCACCTTAAAACTGCTATACTGTATTTTAAAACCTGTCAGGTGCCAATGGCAACAGTTTGGTATAGGTTATTTTATTACTTCAAGTGTCCAGTCTTTGATATTGTCACAGTGTAAAGATTTTTATATTTGAGAAAAAGAAGTTATATTTGACGGAGATACTTGAGTTTCTTTGAACTGACAAGTAGGAACTCAACATAGCACAGCATCTCATGACTCTGGCATGCTGAGTGGTTGCGTGGGCTAACGTAGCCATTTTCCACCCCTACCCGCATTTAATTAAGGAGGGAAACATGACCTCATTCTCAGGCTAGGGCAATGGCTGTTGAATATAAAACTATGTTGTAAACTATGCCAACGAAATGATTGGTTTACTGTAATATCAACTTTTATCGCAGAAACTCCATCAGACTTGATTCATAGATTTCTCAATTGAAATGATGGTTTACATTTTACACAATTGATCAAAGAAACTTGGATAGTAAAAAGGCCTACCAGTAGTCATTATTCATTAATCTTAATTATTAAAATCAGGTTAATGAAAGTCATAACTTCTAGTATATAAAACTACAACAGAAAAGCTTGTGTGCGAGCTAAAGAAAAAGGTACGGTAACCATATTGGACCGTCTAGGTTTTCATTTCAAACGTATTGAACCTATCAGCTTTATAATCTGTTTACACGCTTGGATGTATGATGGAAACTTTGACAGTGCCGGATAATATACAACAAAGCATAATATATAATTGTCAAACACTGCTTCTCTCATTTTTCAATTATGACGTCATAGGGGCCCCTTGGAAAATTCCATGACATCACAGGGGCCGCCCGCCCGGCCCCCAGGGAAAGTCTTGCCCCAGGCCTTGGCCCTTGGGCAACCTCTCGTCAGCCCTGGCGCTGCGCATGGCCACTTCATGTTAGGGACACTTAATAGTTTGAGTTCATCAAACTAAGTTTAAGGCATTGAAACGTCATGATTTGCAAGTCAAATCTTCGTCCGAACGCAGAAAATACGTCATTTCAGGATTTTAAAACTTTCTGCCTGGGGAGCATGTTCATGCATGAGCCCATCTAGAGTTTGGTTAGCTTCCCTACCAAACCAATTATTTGGCCTCTTATGGAGTAGGTTAAAATAATTGGGTGATGTGAAAACAAGAGTTAGGGTAAGAGTCATGGTTTGTGTTAACCCATCTCCCCTTGACAAGTAAAATCGTCTGGTGTTATAGACAAGCAAAATCGTCTGCCGTTAGACAGAGTAAAGTAACAAGTAGTCAGGACACAATGCCACTTAAAAGATTGACTAAGTATCAGGACTACCTAGAATAACCACACATATACCTTATATATTTGTTCAAAGCTGTGTTTTGCTGTCCTTACAAGAAGTATTGAAGTACTTGATATCCTATCCATAGAAGGACTTGATCTCCCATCCGTTAATATCTCGATCCATTCTATTTTCAATATTCATTTCAAATATTTGCCTTGGCATATTCAAGTGGATTTGACAAAAGAAATTCAGGAGCAGCAAAGCAGCTACTACAATCATTTTTTAAATGCAGTGGCAAGAACTTACCCCGAATTTCTGAAGAACGTATTCAACTTGTAATTATGTTGTGAACGCCCAGTTAACTTATATATAATTCTTAATAACAATGCTCTTACCAAGAAGTCCACCAAATATTAATCCAATCACTTTTTTTATTTCAGCTTCATATCTTGGTATCTTCAAGAAAGATATCAAGATTGAAAATCCCAAAAGAGAAATTGTGGCAGTTGAAGAAGTGGGATTCTGCAAAGATGAATCAGGAAACAAAGTCTTGGGAAGCTTTCAGTTCGCCAAGGTTGAAAGAACTGGACAAGTAAACTTGATATCACCTGAAAATGATAAGCATGTCTTGTCCATGATTGCTCCACAGGAAGCTGCCATTTTAATCAGAGTGAAACAACTGTGACAGTTGAAAGAGAAGTTGTGCAAAAAGTAACGTATAACTTTGTTCAAAATAGTGAATAAATTACACTTATAAGAACTGTGAAGTCAGTACTCGTAAAACAAAGCCGAACAAATCTAGGCGAGTTTTAAGTCTTTTCGTACCTTGAATAACATGTTCTTTCGACGTAATTCTTGTAAACAAGTGTACTCTTTGTATTAGTAGTGCACGAAAATTTCTCGATCGATCTCCCCCGTTCTCAATATTTTAATTTTGGGATAGGTAATAGGACCTCTTCTTGGACATGTGGTTTACTTATAATCATTATCTATCCAATGGATTTCTTATATTTTCAACAGGGTCTTGAAAGTAGACAATTTTTTGTCATTTTCTGGAAAAAATGTGATATGTCCGGAAAAAATTTTGGTCTGTCGGGAAAATTTTTTTGAGATAACTTCCACCCCCCCCCGTCGCCAACATTTCCGGGAAAATATTTTTAGGTGCCCTTTTCATTCGAAAATTGCCCCTCGAAGCCCTGCTCCCCAACTTTTAGATGCTTCCTACGCCCCTGTGTGTAAAAGGTGCACGCGTATAATGCATGCGCTGTTTTTGTCATTCCATTGTAGAAATATCGTAATTGAAGTTAGCATGTATTGTATGTAAAGTTATATCACACTTGTGTCGGTTTTCTTTGTTCGTCCGAGGTTTATAACTAGCTTATAGACCTTGAATAAATAATTGGATTAAACTTGTAAACAAAACTCGAGAATTTTTCATTAAAAATTTTTGAAAATGACAAAATATGTTGGAAAACCTCCACAAGTGTGATATAAGTTAGTTATAAACCTCGAAGTCAATATATCAGTTATAAACCTCCTACTCGGTTTATAACTCTTACTTATTACTTGGTAATTGATATAGATGTGATTTGATGATGCACATGAATTTATCCAGGGTTGGATTTAACCATACTGCAGCGATATTGCAACTTAGGAATTGGTAATAAGACTTGCACAGTCGCTTGTGATTTTGTGTTGTTTAATTTTCCTGTATCTCATTTAAGTAAATGGTTTTCTTAAATATATCTTCACAGGGTCTGGAAAGTGGACCAAGTAGTGAGTTATGGTAAACTTACGCCTGTATTCTAAAAGCTGACTCACACTCAATGAGTGGAGAGTTACGTCCTAAACAATAAACATTGGCACTCAAGGAAAGTGTGCGGTGAGCCAAACCATATTAATATACGCTGTATATTGATGTACTTAACATAGTTGTTTCATATGAGAAACTAAGCAGGAGTGAGAATTTGGCGCTGCAAGATATGGACTTAGATCCATAGCTTAGAACGCGCAATAATTAGCTTGATTTATCAAAGTTCAGAGATCGCCTGTCGCAAAACGTTTGTTTATATATAAACATTTAAACCATTTAATTGGCCAATTTTACTTAAAACCTTAGTGGCTTACTTCTTCGCTGGTTGTTATACTTTAAAATAGTTCTGTAGCTCAGTAAAATGTTTGTAAATGCAAATGTAAATATATATATATCCCATTCTTCATTATTTGTTAAAAATCTATTTTTCTTTTTCAAATGTAATACAACTCCAGCTTACTATTTTACAGTAATGTATTGTACATTAATTATAATATATTTCCTGACTTAAAAAAAACAACATTCGAACTGCATGCTAGATTATGAATATAACTAGTTATATAATTATTACCCAGGGACCTTAAGGTTACTAGCTCTAATTCTTATTGTTATGTAATTGGGCGAAAAATTAAAAAAAAAAAATTTATCAAACTTTGCCTTCATTCGAGCGCCAAAACGGATTCAAATGCCTATTAGGTGTCAAGATGATTCCTAATAGGAAACATGCTATTTCGTAAATTGCTGAAAAGTATACAGCAAGCATGCTACTACAAAACAGACACGTAATTCCAAGATTAATTTACCTTGATTCGCTCCATTTTCATCCACAAGTCATCATATTTCAATATGTGAATAAAACTATATAAGGGAGCGGTCTTTAAGTATGTGTAATGGAGGGGTGGAGGTTATTTTATAAAATTCGAAAAATGGTTCATGCCCCACCCGTCCTTTCAAGAAATGAATTGGCACCCCCTCAAATAATGGGTAAATAATTTCATGCCCCTCCTTGAATTTTTAATACAAATAAAAATTGATTTTACAAATACCAATCTGTTGTAAAGAAGAACATCACTGTAAAGCAAGAACTGAAGCAAAACGACATAAGAGGTCAGCTAAAACAAATGCAAGAAAATCAGCAAAACAGAAAAGAGACAGGTTTCAGAGAAAGATGGAAGAAGTGATGAAGTTGCTCACTAAAGACAAGTTCACAAAAGACATGAAAAAAGAAGGCAATACAACTTGTCTACAGCATATATCAACAAGACCTGCCAGTTGGTAGCCAGATTCCATTCCAAGACAATGTGTTTTGACTTATAGAAGAGAACTACATTGCTAAAGATGTCCTAAGTTTTGCCAATAGCCTGGTTGAACAAACGCAACAGCAGCTTCAGAGACTAGGATAATAATGAAATGAGAAAAAGAAGGCAGCCTCTGCAAGAGGACAACCTAGTACTGTAGCTCTAATTGTGTTGTCAACTTTTTGTCAACTTGAAACTAGTGATGAAAGCAGCTGAATATGGAAGCTGCTTTGTGCTAGACTGACATATCACATATTAACATTTATATTTGCCTCTGTTTTCGGAAAGTCTTCACTTTTGTAACAATTTATTCTGGCCAATGCCAGATACTCTATTTGGGAGAGTGCCGGGTACAACTATTAAAGATGCACACTTGCTTTTTCAATGGTTTATAAGCTCAAAAGATGTATTTTTGTTTCAAGCCCCTTTGCTTTTTATAAAATTGGTCTCAAGCCCTTGCTAGGAAGAAAGATTTTGCTTCGTGACCCCCCCCCCCAATAGCCTCCACTCCCCATATACTTAATGACCGCTCCCTAAATCATACATTTTAACCCCTCTTTACCGCCATATTGGATTGTTTCGCGACCAAGACGTGATTTGTAATTACGTAATTTTTGGCAATCCTAGTCGCTGATTGGCTAAGTTAACAGTGAACAGCTAACACATCGATAGCATATAAGGGACAGGCCATTAGAAAAGTGATGGGAGGGGGGGGGGGTGGTCCATTTCCAACCTGTACGATTATTTTTTCAAAATTTTTTGCTTGTGTCGATAATTTTTTTTACTAATCCCTTGCTCGAATTTTATTTCTTTCTCCAAAAATTGTTTCAAAAAAAATTTTCCGGACTAACATCAGTTTAGTTAATTAAGGTTCAAAACACATTTTCCCCGACAAATTTTTCTTAAAATATGTTTAAAACGCGTTTTTGCACCAATATCTGCAACATTTAGTTTAAGAAAATTTTTTCTCACACCATTACTTATATCCAAAAACGTTCCAAATTATTTTTCTTTTATTTTGCAAAATTGGGGGGCACCCTTACACTGTACCTCTGATAGGCCCTGTCAACTTATAATTTTCCCCATTGAAAAGTTTCTGCACGATTTTTTTTGTTCAAACTTTTCTGGTGCACGTATTTTTTTCTTCTCTTTCCCCCTTCTCGATTTTTATTTTTGCTTCCGCCCCATCACTTTTCTAATGGTCCGCCCCTAATCTACTTCGTAGATTCAAAAATCCAGGATCGAAAGCTCTGCGGAGGAGAGAGGAGGAAGGCGCTTCGAAACAGAATATGCAAATCACATTACAGAATATATTAATACAAAGTATGGATAAGGTGAGAATTTAAAGTACTGTCAATGCTTGCTCTTGACAGGCACAGACAGATTTATGTTTATATTCTATATTTAGCTGTATCTGTCTTTGCCTGTCAAAAACAGACATTTCACAGTACTTTAGGGACGGACCATTAGAAAAGTGATGGGGGGAGGGACAAAAAAAAATATTCCCGGAAAAAATTAGGGAAAAAAATCTTTCCAGGCATAGTGCAAAAAAAATCCTTGCTTGGAAGATGATAGGCCTATAAATTTCACTTAAAAAAATATATTTCCAGCCATCAAGTGAGAAAAAAAAATTCTTCTATAGGTGTACAAAAAAAATATATTGCCCCTTAGAAAATCCCCCCCCCCCGCATCACTTTTCTAATGGTCCGTCCCTTAATTAAATTCTCACCTTATCACATACCTGTTTCACATGTTAGTTGTATCTTGTATTTGTTGTAGTTTTTTTTTATCTATCTGGGTTGGGAGAAAACGCGGATTCGGACCGACAAAAATAATAAATGCGGACGGCGGTAACACCCCAATGGCTAAGTACAATTACAGCTCACACAACAAATCAATCCAATCTATATTACATAAAGGAAATCACATAGAGGATGTATTAAAAAAAAAAGATAATAAAACTTTGACACGTTATATATCGTGCGCTAATTATTACGTTTTCCCAATCTTTAACTGAAAAAATTCATTACTAATTCACGAGGAAAATACAAAAGAAATAAATATTTAATTATCAATGTTTATAAATCGGATAAAGCTTTGATTTTCTCGGCTTAGACGATGTTTATTTTTGAAATTACTTCGCCAATGAACTCATAAGATGGGTCGTTTTTTAAGTACGGTGAAACACATTCGCATCCGATCTGTATCTGATATACAAACTCTCGCCTTCGGCTCTGGTTTGTATATCAGATACAGATCGGTTGCTCATGTTTTATCTAGTACATACAGATCAGGTTTTTAGTTGTCAAATGACACCTTCATTGAATCATTAGTGGTCGGTTGAAATCGCATTTTCCCACCATTAGCATTTATAAATAAATGCTCTTCCAATTTTCGAACATTTGCCCAAATTATTTTTGCCCATTGGGGAAACGTATGGCATTGCAAGTTCAGTCTGCAAATTTTCATTCTTGTAAGATGTTCTAACCACTCAAATTCGTTGCAAAATTGCGAGTGGAAATGTATGTACCAATTAGCCATTCCGAAGTTGATGAGTGGACTGGGGACGAGTGTTAAAAAGTGCCCAAATTAAGAAATGAACCAAATCACTAAAAAGACCACCTCAAAATTAGTCAGTATACAAAGTTTGAAGACATTTACATGAATATCCTTCGAATAATAAGCTTTCGAAAATCGTGATAATTACTATGAAATGTATTGTACTTTTTGTTTTTGGGAAGCGCGTCCCAAAAACAATCTCAAATAAGGGTATTCATGTAAACGTCTTCAAACTTTGTATACTGACTAATTTCGAGGTGGTCTTTTTAGTTATTTGGTTCATTTCCATTCTCGTACCCAGAGCCCTTCTTACGCGCGTTCGACCGAGCTCGACGAGGGGCTCTGGCCAAATCCATATCAAACTGGCTTCTGATTGGCCACAACTAAATATATGGTTTATTGTATAAAATATGAATAAAAATCAAGCGCTCCATGAAGCGTTGGTTTAGTTTTGGATAAAATTGGGAGAAAAGACATTATTAAAGTTGAAAGAACAGCAGTACGAAGCAGTTAGGAAGATTGTTGTTGATAATCGCCCACAAAAGCGGTAGATGTCGCTAATTTTATTTATTTAAATCAATTAGTTGATTGAAATTAATAGGTTGAGACGTGATGTTCTTATAGCAAAAAGTCAGCATATTTTATGGCAGATGCTCGTCGTATTTCCAAATCAGTGATGTTAATCAAACAAATCTGTGTTACATGTTCAAAGCTGACGTGCCATCTGAAGAGAAAATATTAAAGCCAGCCAGAATATGAAGTTAATTGTGATGACTATTTTCTTTCTAGAAACCGATTTTTTACAATTTTCAAATGATTTGCAGTATAGTATGTCTTATGTATGACTGTTGACTTTTAATAAAACACAAAAAAGTCTAAACATATGTACAACAGCGACTTAAAATCGAATATAAAATAGTGAGTCAATCTCTCGTGAGTCTCGTCTTCGTGTCCGTAGCCATTTATACTGCTTTGGCAACGTTTAAGAGGGAAATATATACTAAATTTTTATCAACATGCTTTGAGAACATCACGTCTTACCTACTAATTGGTTTAAATAAATAAAATTAGCGAAACTTACCGCTTTTGTGGGGTTTTCCTGGAGAAAATCTTTCAAAACGAAACAAACAAGAAAACCGAAGTGTTTATCCGCGTTTGACGTTGAGCATGCGCAGTGTTTAACCGGATACCATGTTTTTTATGGTATCCAGTTATGGATTTGGCCAGAGCCCCTATATTTATAGCTCAGTGAGAGCCCCTCGTCGGGCCACAGGGGGCCCCACTATGAGTTATGATTGAAATAATATTGTATCTATTTTTAAAAACCTACTTGAATCCCTTGATAATCGATTATTTCTTCTCTCGAAATTCTGTAAACATTTTAAACTGCTTGAATCATTATACTATCACTCTACATGAAGTATAGATGATCGCTGACAAGTAAGGACCGCGGGCGCGAAAAGACGTAGGCGGCGAAAGAAGGAAGAATTAAACTAAAGGGTTGAAACTTCGGCGGGTCATCGTTTGATGTGTTCCATAAGTAGGTTGTTCTCCGGAAATTTCGCACGGGGCCCCAATGTGAGTTAGGATTGAAAAAATATTGTATTTATTTTTAAAAACGTACTTGAATCCCTTGATCATCCATTATTTCTTCTCTCGAAGTTCTGTAAACCTTTTAAATGGCTCGGACTCATTATACTTGACGTCACGAGAACAACCTACTTATGGAACACATTGTGCGAAAAAACCCTTCGAGTGTTTCATGTAAAAACATACGAAAAATCAATCGTTTATTGAATCTACTACATCAGTTGTGAAGATATATCCAAAAAGACATAGAATCTGCAAAAAAATATTCGAAAACACAAATAAATTGTGAATTTTAAGGCATTTAGAAATGTCATCTAGTCGAAGTTTCAACCCTTTAGTTTAATTCTACCTTCTTTCGCCGCCTTCGTCTTTTCGCGCCCGCGTTCTTACTTGTCAGCGATCATCTATACTTCGTGAAACGTCATGTAGAGTGATAGTATAATGACTCCAAGCAGTTTAAAATGTTTACAGAATTTCGAGAGAAGAAATAATCGATTATCAAGGGATTCAAGTAGGTTTTTAAAAATAAATACAATATTATTTCAATCATAACTCATAGTGGGGCCCCCTCAATCTCGTTCCCCGAGCCTGCGATCCTCGGGAAGGAATCGAAGGCTCTGGGATAATCCGTTACCGGAAGCCAAGAATCCTGGCTAAGATTGAACTACGCATTCCATTTCAATAGCCAATCAGATTCCTCCCTGAAACGGATTATCCCAGAGCCTCGCGTTCATTCCCGAGGATCGCAGGCTCGGGGAACGAGATTGGGGCCCCTTGTGGTCGGGCTCGGTCGAACGCAACCTCGTACCCAGGGCTTCTGCGCTTATTGCTCTCAGAAGCCCTGGGATAATCCAACTCAGAACGTGATTTGATTGGTCAATGCGAATAAAATGAAAGTACCGGAAGTTATTCATTAACCGGGTGATATTTTGGCAACATGGCTGCTATCACAAGGAGTGTATACAAAAGTTAAATGCTGGTTTTTGCATGAAAATACTTTTTTAAGCCAAATTCTGGGCTATTTTGAAAAGAGAAAAAGAAGAAATGGACTATTTGTATTTGTAAATAAGCAAGAATGGCGAACAAAGTAAAAAATTTAACATAATAAAGCGAAACATTTCTCGTTCGAAAAATATTGAAATTTCAAGTATAAATCTACAACTTCAACCACGATATTCAATGTAAATATTACATAATAAAGTTTTTAATACCTTTTTTACCTTTATTTGATAAATTGTGTGTTCTATATTATTGCATTTTGTATTGGAATAGGATAAATTATTAATTATACACAAATATTTAAATTTGCAAATTATTCCCAAATTTTGAGGATGCTGGGTGCACTTATGGGTGCATGCACTGCCTCAGAGTTTGTATTAGTCCCTATTTATTATTGAGTTATTAGTGCCTCTAAATCTCTAATGTACAAACATTGTAATCTGTTACTTAATATCATAATGAAACTGTTGATAGCACATATATTAAATGACTATTAATCAAAATGAACTAAATTTTTGACTATTATATATTCCCCCAATATTGAGGGAATAATTTCTCATATTCATTTTTATAATAAGCCAGTATTGCCCAACTGTGAAGTAAATATTTCCCGACTGGCCTAGTCTGCCCAACAATCGGGCCCCGCCCTGTACGTCTATGGCCAGGCCTACAGATGGACCCTCAACCAGATCGGTCACAATTTTTCTTTCTCCGAAATTTCCCCTCCCCATGTACAAGGATTGACAATTTGACAGCTTGATTAGATTTGAAAAAAAAAACCACTGTTATATTGGGTCATTCCAGAAAACACCCATACCACCCCCACAGAGGAAATTGAAAGTTAATCCCTCATACCCCTTTGGATGTCCTAATACATTTACTATTATCAGAAACAATTTTTCCCTCCTACCCCTCCAGACAGCAGAAATTTCCTCTGTGGTGGGAGTGTAGATCTTCTCTGGAACGACCCAACGACTCATCACTGTATGTCAGAATACTGTTCTAAGTTGCAACTAAAATCCAGAGGTCTAAAAGGCTCAAGTCAATTCCACTGGTGTAACCAGAGGGGGGGGGGGCAAAATATTTTAAATGTTCCAGACTTGTTTGCAATTAAGTAGAGTTGAACATGTGTTAACTGAATGGTTATTTCAAATCACCAAAACACATTAAAATAGCCCCCCCCCCAAATGGCAGTTTACCAACTAGAATTTAAAAAAGCTACATTGTACTATATTATACATGGATAGCTTGGGAGTCCAAATACATTTTTACATAATAACAAACTTATTCAAACTAGTGCAGGCCCCTCCTGGGGATTTCAGTCCCCCTTGAAGGCCTTGATTAGAAATCCTGGCTACATCACTGCTCAATTCCATTGCCAGTGGTGTTAGCATAATTAGACAGAGTATGTTAACAAACTAGTGTGTATTATGAAATAATCCATTGAGCACCAGTGATCTATCCCAACATATAAAATCATCTGGTGTTAGACAGTCAGAGTAAAGTAAAAAGTAGGACACAATGTATAACTTAATAGGTAAGGTTAATGGCCAGAACTAAATGATAAACAATATTTTATAATAAACCCAAATTAGTTCAGCACCATTGATTCTTATAACACTGTTCATTCCAATACTAGAATATCAATTGTCATTAATTAAAATGTATTTCAGTTGGCAATTAACAAAAGTTGGAGTTTCATCTGATGACATGTATGCTTCTAACCATGCTGTCCATGCAGCTATCTGACAGTTTTTAATTTTCAACATTCCCAAAGCCATTATTCTCAAGATTTGCCAAAAAGGTTTTCCAAATAAGTACAGAATTATATTACATCACTCGTCACTGTTCATTTTACATTTACTTCAAGTAGATGCATATTTACATTATATCTTGTGTATTCATAATTAAATCTTGCAATATCTTGTTCAAAACCCTCAAATCCAAGATAATCGGCAGCCAGCCATGTTACCAGTAAGATTTCTAGTTTGTTGACTTTGAAATGACCAAGGTTGTACTCGAGTATATTTATGGCTTTAATTATTTAATAGCATAGTTGCCCGGGTTTCTTTTGTTTCAACAGGGACGTTTAATCACGTATCGCCCGCTGTAGCGGGCGATTAGTTCTAATCGCCCGCTAGAGCGGGCGATTAGAACTAATCGCCCGTTACCAAGGGTCACACCTTTGTCTCCCTGACGACTACGCATTAGGCAAGTGCCTCACGCACATAATCGTGCAAGGAACAGCAACAGTTAGCTCAGAGCCGTCAATAGTCTATCATCCGATCCCTGAGTTGCCGCATCATTTAAATTACGCACGTGCAGTCTCCAAATTTATACTAATATATTTAGCGTGTTTGTTGTGGTACGTTAAATGATAGATTGCGCATGCGTAACCGATTAAAGCGTAAAAGTGCGCATGTGCAACAAGCTTTTACATCCCACAAGCAATGAAGCAAATGTTTTAGCTTAAATACGCTGATTCCAAGTAGGGCATGTTTGTCCATTTTTAAATGGGAGCGAAACTATGCTATTACAAACTAATAGCATGGCTTTTCGGGAGATTAGTGATTAAATGACCCCTTACCCTCGGCAGGTTTGCGGAATTCCCTCGGGCTTCGCCCTCGGGAATTCCGCAAACCTGCCTCGGGTTACGGGGCCATTTAATCACTAATCTCCCTCAAGCCATGCTATTACTTATAAGAATAGCCTCTGTATATCGCTGACAAGGTATGCTTTTGTCGCGATACTGAAGATGTTCTTTTGCTCGCCAAAGGGCTTATTTTACGCATAATTGTATCTCTAAATTGATCATTCCTGACTTTAAATTCCAAAAGCCACGCGAGAAGCAGTTTAAGACGTCTTTAGAAGTCCAAATTTATTATTAATTGCAACAAATAATGCATTCTCACTCCTTGCGTAAAAATATGCCAAGTCAGCGTTTTTAGTTGAAGTTATTGCTTACTTCCGCTTCCGGGGGCACCAATCTTTTATGGTGTTCCGGTTTGGATTATCCCAGGGCAATCTCGTACCCAGAGCCATCAACGATAGCTCTGGGTACGAGATTGATCCCAGGGCTTCTGAGAGCAATAAGCGCAGAAGCCCTGGGTACGAGCAGGGCGCTATAAAACACGGGCGGTGAAACGGAGATAGCGCCCCTGATCTTTGAATAATGCGCGTACAGTATACATTAATTTAATGTCAATAAAAATGGAATTGGAATGTTTATGCAAAAAAGAGCTGAAAAAACTAAAGTAAAAAATGTTTTCTGCACATTCCTAAACAACTTGATGGTTTGAAGACATTGTTGGATTCATTTTCTGTATATCTGATGAAGGAAAAAAGGCTTTAAAGATTCATCATGAGCGAAATAAAAATTTGAAAAGGAATCGAGCTGATCGAATGTGGGCATATTCCAAATACGAAAATTTTGGTATGAAATGGGATATTTTACTTCATAATGCGAAGGTAGGATAAACATTTTCACAGTAAGAATATTCTGACATTGCTTGGCTATTATTTTTCAATAATTATATAGCCAAAAATTGACCATGCATGCATTTAAAACAGCTAGAATTTGGAAAAAAAACAAACTACAATTTGCTTGAACAATTTGAAAACTTAAATATATAACCGTTTTTTGTATAACCATGCATGAGCCGGCCTGCTCGGAATCCATTGAAAGTTCATTGTAAAGTGTTTTTTACTAATTGATTTGATTTCTATTATTGGTATAACTAACTGCCGCCGACACTCCAAAAATATTCAGGTGAATCTTTTTTCGTGCGACTGCAGTCGTTGACATTATTACAGTGACAGTGTTACGGAAAACTATAAAGGCTGCAAAATATCTCCATTTTATGAAAAAAGCACAAAAAAGCCCCGTTCAATTTTACGTGAGACATAAAGCCAAGTTAAATGTCTATAGTTTGGTGTGTTCAAATTTATCTCAACCTATCTCAACGAGGAGAAAACACTATTTTAAATACGTCCGTTGCAGTTTGTCGAGCTGACATGTTGGAATTCAAGGCTAAAAAAATATGTTTCGACGAAAAAGTCTGTCTTCTTTTGATAAATTTCTGATATATTATGACTCGATTTCAGTTTGTACAATTTTTTAGGGGATGTTTCACACCTAGGAAAAAAACTACACGCAAAAATACAATTTTTCCGCGGTCCTTTCTCAAAACGTAAACATGGCCGCATTCTCTCGAGTTTGTCGAGCTGACATGTTGGAATTCAAGGCTAAAAAAATATGTTTCGACGAAAAAGTCTGTCTTCTTTTGATAAATTTCTGATATATTATGACTCGATTTCAGTTTGTACAATTTTTTAGGGGATGTTTCACACCTATAAAAAAACTACACGCAAAAATACAATTTTTCCGCGGTTCTTTTTCAAAACGTAAACATGGCCGCATTCTCTCGGCAGTTTGTCGAGCTGACATGCTGAAATTCAAGGCTAAAAAAATATGTTTTGATGAAAAAGTCTGTCTTCTTTTAAAAAATTTCTGATATATTATGACTTGATTTCAGTTTGTACGATTTTTTAGGGGATGTTCCACACCTAGGAAAAAAACTACATGCAAAAATACAATTTTTCCGCGGTTCTTTTTCAAAACGTAAACATGGCCGCATTCTCTCGGCAGTTTGTCGAGCTGACATGCTGAAATTTAAGGCTAAAAAAATATGTTTCGACGAAAACGTCTGTCTTCTTTTAAAAAATTTCTGATATATTATGACTTGATTTCAGTTTTTACAATTTTTTAGGGGATGTTTCACACCTATAAAAAAAACTACACGCAAAAATACAATTTTTCCGCGGTTCTTTTTCAAAACGTAAACATGGCCTCTAAAATGGCCGTATACGCTGTACTTTATCGAGCTGACATGATCTATATATTGTTTTTGAAACTAATTGTTTTTGAACTAATTATGTCTTTGACGGCTTGGGGAATGTTATTTGTATCTAAAATCAAATATTGTGGCAATATAATTAGATTGAACAATATTTAAAATGTTCCGCTTGATATTTTAAAAACTTTCGTGTTAACTTGCGTTGCTTCTCCTTGCGATACAAATGATGAACAGCACTATGTTCAGGGAAAAAAGTTATAGCAAAAAAAGTCCGACTCTTAATTTTAATTATTCTCAAGTATGTTAATTTGGGAAACTGTTTGTGCTATCAAATTCACCTAGGACTACCTAGAGTGTTAAAAAACTCGTATTAAAACCTGACTTTGTGCGCAAAAATAACAAATTTTGAAGGGAACAAAAATCAAAACATTTCTTAAAACATTGACATTTTACAACGCAATGCGCTTTTTGTTTATTTTAATTAAGTAAAGCTGAAGTATAGTAGTGTTTCTTTCAAATTACGTTAAATAATTATGTAATAATTTAAAACTTACCTATATTTTCGTTTGTTATTTCGTAGTCTTCGACAAATCTTTTTGTTGCCATTTTTGTGCCGTTCTTTTTGTATTTCTCGCAAAACGCGCGCTTTCGCCAGTCTCCAGCCGCATCACACATAGATCAGCGCGATTACCGCGCGTTTCCTCGCCCGTGTTTTACTACGCCCTGCTTTAAACCTAATAAAACACTCCTGCTCGTTTATTAAACAGTACCTAAATCTGTGAATTTCAGATTATCATGAAACATGTCTAAGATGCATTAAATAACGTTTTGCATACCTTAAAATAGAAAGTGTTTGGGGGCCCATACCCCTGGACAGCTGAACCACATAATTGTTCTGTCTACTGGACAATTGGACACCCCACTCGTTTGGGGCTGGCCACGCCCTGGAAGAGCGCCGACGCTCGTTGGGTTAATCGCTTAAGCTCAATAATTTCTTTTAATTGTTGCAATTGTGGAAGAATTGTCATGTTTGAGGTACACGCCCTGAAATTTAGAAACACTCCAAAGATCTTTAATCCTAGCTAAGACCTTGCCTACAAATGCAATCACTGATTGAATGTATTTCCAGATGGGTTGGGGTGATCTTGGCATATTTGGCAACCCCAGTGGAGGTTCGCCTAATCTTGATAAGATGGGACGTGATGGCATGGTACTGACTGATGCGTATTCAGCAAATCCAGTGTGCTCACCTTGTAAGTTTCAGAGATAGATCTTTGGTTTAAATGGTTGTAAACTAACGCCCGTATTCTAAAAGCTCACTCACCCTCAAAGAGTAGAGTTTCAATCTGAGCTTTCCTTGAGTGTCGGTGCTGTTTTTGAATAGCTGGAGGGTGAGTAGTCGCATAATATGGTACGACAATAACCATTCAGCTATTCAAAAACAGCACTGAAACTCAAGAAAAGCTCAGATTGAACCTCCACTCATTGAGTGTGAGTGAGCTTTTAGAATACGGGCGTTAATGTTGATCAATCAGTGCAAACAATATTTCTTGATTTGCAAATTTAATATTTTGTGTGTCACCGAATACTTCAAACCTCGTAACAATATATATAAACCATTGTTTGGTTTTTAGCTCGAGCTGCTATACTCACAGGTCGACTGCCTGTTAGGAATGGCATCTATACAACCAATGCGCCCGCACGTAATGGTAAGTATGCGTTACACAGTACATGAATTTTTCTTTCCAATTTGGAGGAAATTTGTGATAAAGAAATTATTTTGGAACTGATAAAGATGAATAACATTAAACACGCGTTTCTCATTATTTGCTTATTAATTTAATATAGCAATTGCCAGACAAACTATTGTTGGTGGAATTTCTGATGATGAGATATTGCTTCCCGAACTTTTACAAAAGGCTGGTTATAGAAATAAGATTGTCGGGAAATGGTAGGCTGGGGTTAGTTCCAAGGGTGGGTTGACTACAAAATGGTTGTAGTTCGCTATAACTACAGCTACTTCAAAAATATGTAGTCAGCTACAACTACTGCTACTTTTGAACAAAGGTAGTTCGCTATTGACTACAGCAGTACTGCTTAAAAAATGTAGCGAACTATTTCGCTATTTCGCAACACTATATTTTTTAGTTTTACTATATGTGGAGCATCTACTAACTCAGGCTGTAATGTAATCTATGGCCATCTATAACAAATCGACTTACGAGTAGCAACAGTAAACACAAAGCAACATTTTTGTAAGCACTACAGTGTTCAGGAGTGCAAAGTGACTATTGAGTATTGATTTTAAGCAAACCGTGTCTCAATATCATGCTAATCTATCAAGTTGCTAACAATTTTAAAAAGTAGCGAATAGCGATTCGCTGTTTGAAAAGTAGTCAACTATACTTGGCTACTTTTAGGCAAAATGTAGTTCGCTATAATTACAACTGCTGTTTTAAAAAAGTAGTCAAAAACTACTGGCTATACTTGAAAATTGTAGTTCGCTACAGTAGCGAACTACAACTACTTCGCTACAACTCACCCTTGGTTAGTTCATATATAGCTTCAACCATCACAGTTGTAAGACGTTATAAAACTCAAACTTTCTTTTTTAGGCATTTAGGTCAGCAACCGCAGTATCTTCCTCTGAAACATGGTTTTCACGAATGGTTTGGTGCTCCTAACTGTCACTTTGGACCTTTTGATGATGTTTCAATGCCTAACATCCCTGTGTACCACGATGAATATATGATAGGAAGGTATTCACTGTTAAAGGAATACCGAATGGTTTTCCGTGCAGGATCGCGTCATCCATGCACGATGTCGCGAGACTTTCGGCCAAAGCGTAAAAACACTAAAGCCGCAGGCGAGTGTATTTTTACGCTTTCCGAAAGTCGAGCAACATCCCAAGTGCATGGATCACGCTATCCTGCTTGGAAAACCATTTGGTAATTGTTTTATAAAATAACTACAGTGAAACAATGACATTTTGAGAATCCCGCGAAAATCCCGGGAAGGCATTTTAATTCCTCGTGCAGGATAGCCTGATCCTGCACGGCTATAATATTGACCAATCAAATTGCGTGAATTGCGTCTCAAACATCCATGGGATCCATTGTTACTT